TTTAAGCTGCCCAAAGTCGCCTCGAACCACAAGATGGGCAGCGTATCAATTTAATCAATAACCTCTGTTCTCACCATAGCTGGTGCCATTGCTGAGAACGTGGAGGAGTGAAAATGCAAACTGGGGGGGGGGGCAGATGAAAGAGTGTCTGAGAGCCACAGAATCCAAAACACCATTATTCCTCTCACACATTCCCCCCTCCCCACCAAGCAGGTATAACATAAAGCTGTCTTTTTATTTTTCCTTCCACTAAAACTGTTCAGAGAGAAAGCAAAGTGAGTAGTAGTGGATAAGATTGCTTAGTAATGATCTGATCTGGCTTGAAAATTCACTACTTCCCCCTCTGGGAGTTTCCCTCACTACCTCTGGTACACGACTTACTGCTTCCTTTAACAAAAGAAACATTTTCCTAAATTTAGAACAACCACATTGTTGAAATAAAATGCATTTTTCCCCCACCCCACCCCACCCCAATTCCAACACCCCTGGAAGACAGCCTCTTCACTTGCTGGCTATTGGGGGACCAGGAATAGAGGCAGAAAAGGCCACACGCTGCCAATGGGGAGTAGATTTCAAACCATTGTCCTTTTCCAACAACTCCAAGGGGTGCAGGGCCATAGATTCTCAGCATCCCCACTGATTCAGCGACTTACTCCCTCTCTATCCCTTACTTAATCTTCTGAAGGGATAAGGGGTGTGTGTGATTAATTTTGGGCTGGTGGTAGAGTGAACACGATCTTAACCCCCTCTCTAAAAATGTAGGCTATCGCGTATAGTAGTCAAGGGCGATAAAGGCATAAGCACAATCTTTTGTCATGTTCATGCAGTGTACTATTGGAGATGGTTACCCTTTGAGAGCTGAACGCAACGTAATTTCATTTTAATGTACGCTGATTAGTGTACATTTAAAGTGACAAGTTATTCTGTTCTATTCCATTCTATTTATTCCATTTCATCTTTTTATTCTATTTTATTTTCCATCCCATCTTCTATTCTGTTCTATTTTCCATCCCATCTTCTATTCTATTTTTCCATCCCATCTTCTCTTCTCTTCTCTTCTCTTCTATTCTATATTCTATCTTGTCCTCTCCTATATATAGTACAGTATGTCAGATCCTTCTGCCTTTCGGAAGAACAACCCTTACCCCAAGTTTAATCTTCCTGCTTTTAAAGATCAGGTTTGGCTTAGTTTTTCCCCCAATGCGGCTGATTCTCCTCCTCCGACTTCCAGCATTTATATGTATCCATCAGACTATTTATTTTACATGGGGGAGGGTTGTTTGTACATTTTGCTTTGTCGTGGGGCCCTCCTTGATTTTTAGTGTTGTTGACGCTAGCAGCAATCCAAAAGCGGGACGAGAGGCAGGGGATAATGGGCTCTGTAACCCTCCCTGAAAGGCACCAAGTTGCGGAAAGAGGGGAGGGGGGCTCCAGGCCGTAAAATCTGGCAGGGGGTGAGGGAACCTGCTGGAGCCGAGATTTCTCATACCAAGTCTTGGATGAGCTGCCCCAGGAGGTCCTCCTTCCCTCCTCCGGGGGTCTGGGCAGCGGGGCCGGGGTCAACCGCAGGGCCCGGCGCGGGAGAGATGCGGAGGAGGCGCTGAAGCGGCGGCTCTTCCTCCAGCAGCCCCCCAAGGAGACCCCCGTAGCCGCTCCAGCCTCGCACCGCCTGCGCCTCTTCGCCCTCCGCTTCTCGCGGCCTCTTCCGGCCTCCGCCGCTCTTCCTCCGCCGCCTCGGAGCCTCGCGGGCCAGCTCGGCCTGCCAACGGCGGCGGAACGAGTCGAGCGCCGCCTCAGAGGCATTCTCCACCATGGCGGAACGGCGGCGCGTCGACGGACGGACCACTTCCGGCCGCGATGGTCCGGCTCGCAACTGCGGCCGGCAGGGAAACGGCGCGCGGCGCACGAACGTTCCGCCCAGCAAGGAGGTGTTTCCGTTAAACCCACCCACCCCCAAAAATAAACCCCCGGAGCTTGCCGAGTGCCCGTTCCCTGCGCGTCACGTTACAGAGTTCGCGTGCAGCGTTCGCCTGTGTGGGGTTCCCCCCCCCGCCGTGATCTGCGGGTCCAATCCACGGTCATCCGTGGGCAACTTTGGGTGGGAGGCTTGGTGTGTTAGAACGCCTCGCCTCCAGACGTGGTGGGCGCTCCATCACGGGAGGTTTTCAAGAACGGGCAGCCATTTGTCCAGAATGGTATATAGGGTCTCCTGCCTGAGCGAGGGGGTGGACTAGATGACCTCCAAGGTCCCTTCCAACTCTGTTATTCTGTAAGGGTCTCTTGCTCGGGCAGGGGGTTGGATTAGATGACCTCCAAGATCCCTTCCAACCCTGTTATTCTGTAATTTTGTAAGGGTCTCCTGCTCGGCCAGGAGGGGTTGGACTAGAAGACCTCTGAGGTCCACCTCTTCTGTTATTTTCCTCTTTTTGGTCCTTCCAGATGAAAATTTTGCAAAACTGATGGGGACCACCAGGTGACCACAGAGATTGAGTTTGCCATAGCCCGTGGCTGCCATCTACTGGCCATTTGGCGATTGGCAATCCATCTCTAGGGACTGCGATGGGAATGGAGCCAGCAACAGCAGAAAATTAAAGATGGAACTGTGTTAAGACAAAGCAGCCTTCAGTGACTGCGTTCTTGCCAGTATGCGTTGGACACTAGTTCCTTCTTGTCTCCACTTCACCATGGCTAGGAGTTATGGAATCTGTAGTCCAGCCCATGGGCCACATCATTGCACCGTTGGTTGTGCTTGCTAAGGTTGAATTTCACAATACTCGGAGGTCTTTCGCCCGGGCTTTGGCCAGTAAACTTGGCAACTTTTCAGATGTGTGGACTTTCAGCTCCCAGAATTCCCCAGCCAGCATGCAGTAATGTCCACTTGCCTTATCCAAAGCTGTTGGAACAGAGAGAGGGATGTTCTTTGTGTTTGTGAAACTGAGCAGAAAATCAGATGGTGTACACAAGTTGGCTTGTGAAATTGATTCAAGCTTCTTGACTATCGTTTTTATTTCAATGTTCCCTGAGGTCTTTCAGGGATGAGTCTGATTGCCTGGAGCCTGCCTTTATTTTGGAATATTTGCTTTATTTATTCTTGTCAAAAGAAGTTAAAAGCAGGTAGGGAGTCTTAAAAAACAATCAATTCAGGTCCAATCTCAAAATACAAAGCTGTCTAGCATTTCAAGATGTTTTAACCTTTAATTAATATGCCTCGCTCTTCTTGTCTCTCGATTTGCTGTCTCTCTTTGCTTGTACGTATTCAAAACTGCGAACTTTTTTTTTTTTTTAAATCAGCAATTTGTCAAACACCCAGTTCATCCTGCGGGTGAATTGCCTATTGGGGGACTTATAATTCCTCAGCAATTAAAAGTTAACACTCCCATGTCAAACATTTTAAAATGTAGGGTGGCTTCACACCTTGCAGGAAATGCTAAGCTGTGCTTTTCCATAAGTTGGAGTGTGTAAGTGTGCAAGGACTAGGTAGGAGATACCCTTGAATCACACCCTCGTCTAAAGAACATGTTTTTCTCATCCCTTTGCAAAACCTGCTTCAAATGTGCGCAGAGGTAGCTGCTTCGTACATTATTATGTACCTGGAAGGACCATAGGACAATGCTTTAAGGCAGGGGTCTTCAAACTTGGCCCTTTGATGACTTGTGGACTTCAACTCCCAGAATTCCTCAGCCAGGGAATTCTGGGAGTTGAAGTCCACAAGTCATCAAAGGGCCAAGTTTGAAGACTCCTGTTTTAAGAGGTCCTTGGTGCTCTCTGAGGTTGCTGGTTTTCTTGCATTACCAAACTAGGTAATATCATCAATGGTAGAAGGGAGTGGGATTTGCTATCTGTTTATACTAACTAGTGGCTTACTCTGCCAGTGTCAGGTGGAGTATCCTTGGTGGTTCCTTGATTATGCTGTGTACATTGTTTGGTTTGGGGTTATTACTGGGTGTGATCCTGGCTTTGCAGGTGTAATCCATGGTTTTAAATCTGAGGGTTTTGTGTACAGCAATCCCAGACAATTCCGTTCGAAAATAAAAGCATGATGTGAGAGCTAGATGAAGGGCTCAGCAATGTAACTTGTGGTACTTGAAAGAGTAACAGGTCCCCCGTTCCCAGGCAAAGTGAAATAAATAAATCCATAAAAGGATTATGTGGTCATGAATTTGGTTGACTTTTAAGAAGGGCACAATTAAGGAGGAGGAGGAGGAGGAGGGAAGAGAGAAGAGGAGAATGAAAAGAGAGAGGTAAAGAAACATAAGAAACAGAGAGAAAGCAAAAGAAGAAAAAATGAGAACGGGAAATGGGGAAGGAAGAAGAGTTTGAGAGAAAGAAGGAGAAAGAGGTATAAAAGGGGGAAATCAAGAATAGAACGAAAATGAGAGAGAAGAGAAGGGAGAAAATCAGAGGAAGGAAAGGAAAGGCGGGAGGGAGTGGAAAGAAGGAAGGAGGGAGGCAAGGAAAGGAGAAGGAAGGAAGGAGAGAAGGAGGAGGAAGAAGGAAAGGAAAGGAGAGAAGGAAGCAGAAGGAAAGGAAAGGTGGGAGACGGAAGGAAAAGGATGGATGGAAGGACGGAGAAGGAAGGAGGGAAGGAGAAGGACAGGGGAGAGAAGGAAGGGGGAAGGAAAGATGTCGAAGAGAGAGAGAGAGAGAAGGCGAGAAGCGGGCAGAGAGACGGGAAAGGGAAAGAGGGAAGGGAAGAGTTAAGGCTCGCCATCCGCCTCCCTCGCCGCCGTCTTGCGGCCGCCCCGTCGAGGAGGAGGAGGAGGCGGAGGAGGAGGCGGCGGCGGAGGATGATCTCAGCCAGCATGTGACGCCCGAGCGCGCCTCGCTCCGCGCCAGACTGACGGCCGCGGCAGGAGGAGGCGGCGGTGGCGGCGGCTGGCGAAGTGGCGGCGCGGGCAGCGGGCGCTGGGCCGGCGCTGGGCGCGGGGCTGACCGGCGGGAGCAGCGGCGGCGGCGGCGGCGGGGGCTGGAGCAGCGTCGCGCCGTCGGCGGGCCCGGCCATGTGCCCCTGCGCCCTGCCCGGCCGCCCCCCGGCCGGCTGTCTCTGCAGCAACGGCCAGGGCCAGGGCCACGGCGGGGGAGGCGGCGGCGGCGGCAGCCCGGGCAGGGCGCGCGTCTCCGGAGCGCAGCTCACCGCGGCGCGCCTCCAGGCCATCGGCGATGAGCTGCAGGCGCGGAGGGCGGCGCGGAGCCGCCGCGCCTCGGCCGGCACCGGCCTGGCCACGTCCTTGGCGCTGCTGGCCGCCCTGGCCTGGCTGAGCCGCCGGGGCCGCATGTAGGGCGGGCGGCCGGAGCCAGCGGCCCCTCGACGGGCGGCCGAGCGAGTCAGCGACATCCGTGGCAGGTGAGCGGCGGCGGCGGCGGCGGCGCGTAAGAGGGAGCGTGTGTTTGTGCGTGTGTCAACCTGGGGTCCCGCGGCGGGGTGGTGGGAGAAGCGTCTGGGGTCTCCCCCCCTCTCCTGCGGTACTACAGCTCCCATCTTCCCCAGCCCTCCTGCCTTCCATCTTCCCCAGCCCTCCTGCCTTCGTCCCGCCAGGAAGCAAGCGCGCCTTTGCTCCGTGCGCCAGCCGGAGCGCCTGGCCGGTGGAGTTCGCAGCGCCGGAGCTCACCTTGCTCCGTGCTTCCCTCTCTCCCCTTAACCTGTCAAATGGGGGAGCCCCAGGCTTATCAATTGGAGGAGAGGGAGGGCTTGGGCCCCTGGAAAGCATCCTGCAGGCTTCTCTCTCCGGTGGATGGAAAGTGTCCTGAACCAAAGTAAATAAAGTGCATGTCCGGTGGAACTCCTTGCCACAAGGTCCGGCAGGTGTGTGTGTGTGTGTGTGTGGATGGCTGTTGCTGTGGGGAGATTCTAGGGAGATCCTCCAGGTGACAGGTGGTCCCAAAGATGCTTTTTCGGGAGGCAAGCAGACTTTTCTTGTTTCGCTTCTCATCCAAGAAGCTTCTTCAGCTCGGACTGGACGGTGGGGAATTGGAAGGATTGATACTCCTTGCAGACAGATGATCCGGTCAGAGCCGAAGGAGCTTCTCGGATGAGAAACGAAACGTCTTCAGAGGAAAGAAAACAAGTCCAGTTGCCTCCTGAAAAAGCAAAGCAGATGGATCAGACCTCAGGAGCAAGGGATTGGATTAGAAGACCCCCCCCCCAAGGTCTCTTCCAACTGTTATTCTGTTAGGGAGGTTGGTGCAAAGCTTTTCACAGCTACCAGGTATCAATCAAAGAGAATATGGGTAGCTCAGGGTGGACATGAGGGATCCTTGGTGCTCTCTGAGCTTGGTGGTTTTCTTGCAGACGTTTCATGACCCAAACTACGGAACATCATCAGGGCTAGTGCCAGCTTCCCGGTAGTTTTGCAGCTCCCATCAAAAAGGGCAGCGGGTCCAACCTGAGGTTTGCATGGGGACTTCCCAGAGCCAGTTTTTTTTTTTTCTCCTGCAGCTGAGAGAAAACCAAAAACCAAGTTGATTGGACCTGCAGGGCTCTTAACTTCCCAGCCCTCGAAATGACGCGGCTCTTGAAAATTGTGTGGATCAGCTTTGCCTCCCGGGCATCATCTTCTTCTTAGCCAGCCAAGCATTGGAGCACGGTACTCCAAGCTGGGCATTGGGTGCCCAGGCACATACCTGTGAGATTCGCTCTTCCCATCTCTGCTCTGGGCTAAGAGGTGGCATCTTCAAGCCAGAAGGGACTAATTGCCGCTCCGAGGGAGCAATCAAGATCAGCTCAGGAGAAAAGAAAAGAAAAATCAGAGTTTGAGGTCAGGAATTGGTTTTTTGGGGGGGGGGTCTCGCCAGTCTGAGCCAGGAATAGGTTCCAGCTGCCTCGCCTGGCACTGCCGGCCGTGAATTCTGCAAAACCTCAATTGGCATTATGGACAGAGCTGGAGGCAGCCTAGGTGATGGGCAGGTTTGGACGCTGAGCTTTCCTAGACAGGTGTGTCTTTTGTTAGCCAGCTTTAAGTTTCTCTCTGCTGTGGGCTAAAACGGAGAAGGATCTTTTTGCTCCAGGCCAGAGCTGCGATTCTGCCTGTAAAAGTTCTTTCTTGAAAAGAAAGCAAAGCACCAGAGGGCAGGATAAGAAGTACTGGGTGGAAGCTCATTAAAGAGAAATCCAGCCTAGAAAAAGACATTTTCTGACAGTGAGAGCAATTAATCAACGGAACGGGCTGGTCTTGTAGAGTTGTGGGTCTCCATCACTGGAGGGTTTAAAAAACAAATTGGACAGCCATTTGGCTGGAATGGTATAAGGCTCCTGCCTTGAGCAGGGGGCTGGACTAGAAGACCTTTGAAGTCTCCTCCAGCCTTATCATTCTACGTTCTGGGTATGGAGCTATAGAGCAGCTCTCCAAACAGCCTGCAGTTTTTTTTCCCGTGCTTCGAAACCCAGCAGCTGTATTAAAGAATATGTTAAAGTTGATGACTTTTTATCACCGGTAGCTTCCGCAAAGGAATTTTGAGAGTGATGTGCACCCTCCACTTCTTGCGGTAGTTTATATTTTGTGAGCGTTAAAAAAAAAATGGGTTCACAGAAGCCACTGGGCTACCATCCATTGCAGGCTGAATTTTGGCTGCATCCAAACCAGTATTTGCTTGAGTATGTTGAAGTTAAGCTCCCCAGCTTCTGCAACCACAACTGGCTCCACTGAGTAAGACACCCTTTGTTAGTTACTATTTGTTGATTAAGTCACCCTAGTCAAGCTACTTCAAAACCAAGCCACAAAGACATCGTTCTGATGCATGCATCAACCTGATCTATTTTTCCCTCTGCAAAGCAAAACATAACAAAACAGCCCTCTGCAGGAATAAATAGCTGGGAAAAAAATCACATCCTAAAAAAATCACATCCTTGGCATCGCACTTTTTCTCGATCTGAGGATTGAAAGAGGTGGAAACGAGGCATGTGACAGAATAACAGAGTTGGAAGGGACCTTGGAGGTCTTCTAGTCCAACCCCCCCCCCTTCCAGCTCTGTTATTTGTATTCTGAATCTCCTTCCCCTCTGAAGCCACAGGGCTACTAGCCAACCTCTTCTTGCCAGGAGTCACAACTGACTTGAGGACACAGTTTTCCCTTTATGGGTCACCAGCCTGGGCTGAGTCGGGTTGAGAATGGGGCAGGGGACCCAATGGGGGAGGGGCAAAGTTAAAACAAAGATTCCCTCCTCCAATCTCAGCGATCAGATCAAAAATCAGAGACTTTTTGCAGCTTCCGTGCCAGGAAGTTTTGATTTCTCAGTTTGGCTGTACAGCACACGTTGTGTGCGCGCGTGCGCGCCCGCCTGTGTGAAGATCTGCCTGTGCCCTCTTTTCCTAAGTTGGGATTATCTTCACAGTGGGAGAAGAGTGTGGATTTTTGATTTACAGTAATAGAGGCTTTCAGGAAGGCATTGTGCGCTGCGCACCAACGCTCTCCACTCTGCTTTCTCATATTTTCCGTTTCAAAGAAGTGGAGTGGCAGAGCTGAAGATGATTCTTACTGCAAGCAGCTCTGTTGGAGTAAGCAAGACCAGACCGAGGGATTATGGGCCATCAAGCCTTGGTTGACTCTTAGCAACCAGATATTTTCTCTGTGAGGAACGGTCCCTCACCTGAGCCTGCAGGTCTTCCAATGGTGGCCCTACCACCTTGTTAACTGAGTCCATCCACCTGGCAGCTGGTCATTCTCCCCCATTCCCTTCCCCCTTTCTCAGAATCAGAACCTTCTCCATCAAAGTGGATGGTCTCAGGGATGGTGGCGATGGAAGCACCATTGGTAGACCTGAAGGACCAAGTTGGGATAGACCAGGGGTCTTCAAACATGGCCCTTTGATGACTTGTGGACTTCAACTCCCAGAATTCCTCAGCCAGGCACACGTTTTTGTTTTTGGTCTGTCTCAGACCCATTTCTCTAAACACAAGCATGACAGGAGATCCAGATCTGGTCCAAAAAGTCAACAGCTTGGAGCAGGGCTGGGGAAGATGTCTGCTCCATCAGCCATCTCTCTCCAGCTGCCTCGAACCACAAGCGAATAAAAAGCAGTGGCCTTCCATCCTAGGGAATGTTGACTTTCCAAGGATGTTCCAAACTAGAAAAAAAAAATGCTCAGAGGGTAAGCAATCCAATTAGCCATGTATTTTTTTTCTTAGGTTTTGTTTTCCTGTGGGAAAACAGCAAACTTGGATCTTGACTGTTTTCTGCCCGATTCCAGCAAGGTGATTGCAGGAAATAGTTTAAAAAAAAAGGGGGGGGGAGATTGATCCAGGGGCCATGTTTTTGATCCCAAAGCTGCAGGCAGCCCACCCTTGAAAGTGAGTGATGGGCTTTGTTCCCTTGAGATTGCAGCAAAAGGCAATTCAGGTCCCTCTGATACGGCTGCTTCTAAGAGTATCCTGGATAACCAAGAAAACGAATCAATGGATCACTGGATAAATCAAACCAAAGTTGTTACTCAAGGCACAAATAGCCATGCTCCAATTACTCTACTTGGAATACCTAACTACATCAGTCCTCCTCCTCCTCCACTCCACAAATGTCACTCCCATCTAGCACTGATTACGTTACCTAGTTGGGTAATGAAACGTCTGCAATAAAACAACCCAGATCAGAGAGCACCAAGGACCCCACAGTCCTCCTCCTCCACTCCACAAACCTCACTCCCATCTAGCCCTGATGATGTTACCTAGCTGGGCAATGAAACGTCTGCAAGAAAACGAGGCCAAAAAGGGAGCTTGGAGGCGCAGGATCACAATATGACAGTATTGTATGTATGAATGTAAACAGAGGTCCTAATTCAAATTAGGCATTGTTGACACCATGAACCTTGTTGTCATTTTGACTTGCAAAGGTCCCCTGCCAAAGAGAGCCTGCCTGTTCAGCCTACCATTCAAAGTCTTCCTGCAACATCACAAGTTGAATTCCCATACAGGCAGTCCTTGACTTATGTCTACAATTGAGAGAACTTCCTTTGCTAAATGAGGTAGCCGTTAAGTAAACTGCGCCTGATTTTATGACCTTTTTTTTTTTGGCTGCGTTGGTTGTTCAGTGGATCCAGCTTCTCCATGACTTTGCGTATTGGGAGCCAGTGGGGAAGGTTGGAAACGGGGATCCTGTGATCCCCCAGATGTTGGAACCGTCATAAATACAAGCTGGTCACCAACTGCCCAACTTTTTCATCACGTGACGGTGAGGATGCCGTGACAGTCGTAAGGGGAAGGACTGGTTGCAAGTCATTTTTTTTTCCCCAGGGCCATTGAAACTTGGAACAAATGAATGGTCTAACTCCAGGAGGATTATCGGCATTACCC